TTCCCATTCCCTTTCTCTTTCTCTCTCTTTCCCTTTCTCTCTCTCTTTCCCTTTCTCTCTCTCTTTCCCTTTCTCTTTCTCTGACTCTCTTTCCCTTTCTCTCTCTCTCTCTCTCTCTTTCCCTTTCTCTCTCTCTTTCCCTTTCTCTTTCTCTCTCTTTCCCTTTCTCTTTCTCTTTCCCTTTCCCTTTCTCTTTCTCTCTCTTTCCCTTTCTCTCTCTCTTTCCCTTTCTCTCTCTCTTTTTTTCCTTCTCTCTTTCTCTCTCTCTTTCTCTCTTTCCTTCTCTCGCTTTCCCCCTTTCTCTTTCTCTCTCTCTTTCCCCCTCTCTCTTTCTCTCTCTCTCTTTCCCTCTCTCTTTCTCTTTCTTTCTCTCTCTCTCTTTCCTTCTCTCTCTTTCCCTCTCTCTCTTTCCCCCTCTCTTTCCCTCTCTCTTTCCCTCTCTCTTTTTCTTTCTCTCTCTCTTTCTCTCTCTCTTTTTCCCTCTCTCTCTCTCTGTATCTCTTTTTTGCTCTTTTGCTCTCTCTCTCATCTCTTTCTCTCACACACACATCTCTCTCTGTATCTCTCTTTCTCCTCCCTCCAATTAAACCATTTGTTTCTGTAATCAAGGCCTTTCCTTCACAAACAAACAAGGCCGGCAGACTAAGCTACATTTTCTGCCAGAGCTAAGGACTTAACCTCTGAAACAACAAATGGGCCGAGCCAAAGGAGTAGTAGCAAAAAGACATTCTGCCAATACTTTGGATCAAATGGGAACAATTTGGTCTTCTCAAAAGCACAGATGTGGTCCTCAGCTGTGCCAAGTGCAAGGTGGCATTCAGCCAGGGAAACTGGGTGAGGTTTGCATGTGTGTATTTGTGTGTGTGTGTGTGCCAGTGTGTGTGTGTGTGTGTGACAGAGATCTATTTGTATTTATCGGAATTACTACGCTGCACAATGGCTGTAGGCTCCGGAGAGTCACGGGCAATCATCAAAACCTTCAAACAATACACAATCCTAGCATCTCACAAACAGTCTCAGGGACACCCAGAAGGGACTGGCCTGAGCTCAACATCCTCCAAATGCTTTTTTAAAGAGCCATGTTTTTGCCGCCCCGAGAAAACTTAGCAAGAGTTGTGGTCCACAGGTTTGCTTGTGTGCCTTCAAGTCACTGTTGGCTTCTGGCAACTGCCAAGACAAGGGGTCAGCAACCTGTGGCTTTGGAGCCGCATGTGGCTCTTTTATCCCTCTGTTGCGGCTCCCTGTCACCAGTTGGTGCTATAATTTTGAGAGGACCATGGCAAAGCATGGCGCGCCAGGAGGAGACTCTATGGCACGGAGCGGGTTTTCCGGTCGGCTCCACAATTGATAGGGCTTTCAGTTAGGACAGGTAGAGGAAAAAGGATGCCATGCTAGGAGGAGACTCTATAGTGGGTGGACCAGACTTCAGCTCCAGAATTGAACGAGGGCTTCCAGTTAGGACCTTTGTGGCTCCTGGTGCCTCTTGAAAGCCTCTGCCAGCGAAAGCAACTCAAGAGAGCCACACGTGTCCCTCCCGAACTCTGCTTTTGGCTGCAATGGCTTCCCGCAACTCTCTGCCAGCGAAAACGGAGCTCGGGAGGGTCTCGCGCACAGCCTTCCCGAGCTCCATTTTCACTGGCAGAGATACTGCGGGCAGGTCCTTCGTTGTTTCCAGGGTAGCCCTACAGGCCAGATCTAAACACTCATGGGCTGGATACAGCCCGCTGCCCTTGTGTTTGACACCCCTGCTGTAGGATATGCTGCCTAGAGGGCCTGGAAGGAAAAAAAAATCCAATGTAGCATACATACATTAAAATGCAGTGATAATATGCTTTAATGGTATGTTCTACATTTGTTGGAAAGCTCTCCGTGTCAGAGCTCCTCCGTTTCACAAACGAAGCCCCGTCAAGAAGCCAACACTTATATTTTACTATTTTTGGGTCCGTGGAAATACCCCCCCTCCCCCATGAAAATAAAAATTAAGAGCTGGAAGAGACACCTGCAACAATAAAAAAGAACGGAAAAGAGGAGGAGAGGAGAGGAAGAANCTATCTTCTTTCGGTCTTCTTCCATCTCTCCATCCCTTCCTCTTTCTTTCTGTCTTCCATCCATCCATCCATCCCTTCCTCTTTCTGTCTTCCTTCCCCTCTTCCCTCCTTTCCTCTTTCTGTTTCCCTTCCTTCCCTCCATCCCTCCCTCTAGCTCCCACCTTCCCTCCCTCCCCTTTCCTCCCTCCCCTCCTCTCCACCCTCCTTCTCTCCCTCTCCACCCTCCCTCCCTCCCTTTCTCCCAGGAGCAACACTCACAGTGATGCCCACGTTGGTTGGCTCTTTGCCTGCCACCAGTTGGCAGATGGAGTTGAAAGCCTCCTCGCCACTTTTATCCTTAAACCGCTTTGGCGCCAGTTCTTCCAAGGCCCGCTTGAACTCCTCGTAACCGATGACCCGGGAGGATTTTGCTCTGTAAGACGATGGGAACAAAGAGCTCAGAAACCACTCGCAGGGAAAGAAGACCCCCTTTTGGTCGGTTGCCCTCCGCCCTTTCATGCCCAGACCCAGCGGAAAGAATAAATGGGGTTTTCATTTATCCAGAGAAAGGGGTTGTGCTGGTGACTCCTCAGGAATTGCAATCATCTTCTGTAGGCTTCAAGGCAATGCTGCTTGTTTGCGTCTTTATTTTGGAGACGTGTGTTTTATAACCTGTGGTCCGGTTTCTTTGCATATAAATAGTATCTTGGGAGTGTGACCGATTTCTCTTTGGAGGCAGGGTAACTCTCGGGAGGATCTCCCTGCCCTTCCAAATCCCATTTATTGATTTGATTTATGCCCATTTCACATAAAAGACTCTGGCTCGGTTACAATTGAATAGATGAAAGCCATAAAAGGCGTAACGTCAAATAAAATAAAAAAAGAGAGCAGCCAAGCTTCATAAAATGCATGTGCGCATGTGTATTCTGGCTTGAGCATTTGGTGCCGAAAAGGTTCACCATCACTGCTTCTGAAACTACAGGATAAATTCAAGGAAGCCCTACAAGATTTGGATTTGGAATTAGGACCCAATCTGGGTTGGCCACCGGGACCAGAGTTTTTGGCTGGAGCCCATCCTCAGGGGATTTCTCTCTAGCAAAGTGTGTGCTGTTCTGTCAGATGCAGATTTGATCCTACAACATTATCCTGAGACATGTATATTTGCCTTCTCTCGTTGGATTAAGGAGATCAAAGGGCCATCTGAGAAGGTTTCAACCACAACCATGTCTCTCTCTCGTTCTCTCATTCTCTCTCTTTCCCTTTCTCTCTCTCTCTCTTTCCCTTTTTCTCTCTCTTTTTACTTCTCTCTTTTTCTCTCTCTCTTTCTCTTTCTCTTTCTCTCTCTTTCCTTCTCTTTCTTTCCCTATCTCTCTTTCCCTCTCTTTCTTTCTCTCTCTGTTCCCCCCTCTCTTTCTCTCTCTCTCTCTTTCCCTCTCTCTCTTTCTCTTTCTTTCCCTTTCTCTCTCTGTCTCTTTCTCTTTATCTCTCACTCTTTCCCTTTCTCTCTCTCTGTCTCTCTTTCCCTTTCTCTTTCTCTGACTCTCTTTCCCTTTCTCTCTCTCTCTCTCTCTCTTTCCCTTTCTCTCTCTCTTTCCCTTTCTCTTTCTCTCTCTTTCCCTTTCTCTTTCTCTC